AAAATTGAAATGTTTCACGAAAAAATTACATAGCTACAGCAGTAGACATGTCGATCCCGTGAAATGACGGATGACTGTTATTATTGTTGTCCCGTATTTTACTATTAAATGCATGGTATATCGATCCTTTCCATTTACAGTTAGATTCATATTCGATAATAATATTCATAATCGCCTAAACTCCTAAATTACCAATGCCAGTTATATTAATATTCTATTCGATAATCATAATAAAGCCTCAATAATCGATAAAATCATATCTCTCTTACTTTTATTATGTGTCATCATATAAAAAATCTCACTCTTTCAAATTTATATCTCGTGTAACCATTAAAATATTACTATTATGTATCATTTTTTTTTTAATGATTTAATTCGTTTCCGGATTAAGCGTAGAAATACAGATGACAATAAGATTTCAATTGACAAAAAATGAACAAAAATCAATTTATCTTTCTTGAAAAACCTAGAATTTGCAAATAGCTTTTAGCTAACAATAATTGAGGAATTTTTCATAATCACAATAAATCTTATCTTTTTATAGAAAAAATCTATAAAGTCATACATTTCCTATTCTTATTATATCCATGGATTTTAACGAGCTTTGACTGTATCACAAATTGCGATCCCATATTTTAATATTACCTGTTTTAACCATATCATGATCATTTTCTTGCGAAAAATAATATCTATTCTCTATTAATATGTCCTGATTCTATCATATTGTTTGGACATTATGCTACTTAGATGCTCGGATAAACTAGTAAATTTTTTGACCGACCGTGCCATTATTAGTAAATATGACAAAAAAAAAAAAAATAAGTTCATTGTACTGAATGGAAAAAATCACGATTTACAACATAAGAATTTGAATAGAATCAAATAACTAATCCACATACAAAATTGTACTTGCTGTAAAAATGAAATGAAATTATTTTCATCCTTATAAAAAAAAACAACCATAATTCAGAAAGTCATTAATTATTAGCTTGGGGCAATATAAAATCTCCGTGAAACAAAATTCAAAAGGTGGTTGTAACTTTGATTATCAAAATATGCAAAGAAATCTGGATATTTCATTGCTCATTTTTGTTCCCATTTTGAAATCTTGTTGATTAAAAAAGTAGTTCTATCTCGGTATTTTTTACTTTATCAAGTTACATTAATAAGTTTTTTCAATAACTTTTTGTTGGTAGGAAATACTACTCCAAATTATAGTTCTTAATAAGGTTGAAAATTGAAAATATTTAATTCATATTAAAACAGATAGTTGTATAATCCAACAATCCCTTCTTGAATTATATATTTATTAATGAACGAATTTTGAAATTTATTCAACTCGATTTTCCTTCAATTTTGGCATCTTATCCATTTTTTAACAATGCAACGAAAGAAAATTGATATAAAATTATTATTCTATAATTTATTTTATTTATTTATTACTATTAGATATACATGCAGCCCAAATTGGTTTGGTGATTTTGATGGTCAAAATTATTACAATTTTGGTGGTAGAAAGTAGAAATTAATTACGGCATTCACTATTAAAAACATAAGTGTAACACCCCTTTACTACATGTGTACCCCCCTTTATGACAATGTCAAAATACTTTGGGCTGCATGTATACTTGTAATTACCCAGCAAGTTCTGCTCTGCATTTTGATTCCAATTAAAATCATCCGGAAAATATAAAAAAATTTTACACATGTCAATTGTAAGTTTAATAATAAAAAAGTGTAAACTTACGTCGGCACTGTAAGATTTACACAATATTATGTCGGCATCGTAAGATTTATGCAAGTTTACGCTAAATTAATTTCCTGATGATATTTTATAAATTTATAAACTAAAGGACACTACATTATATCAATACAAAGAAAAAGTACCTCTGTAATTTACACGTCTTCTCTTCTTTAAGAGACTCACATTTTGTCTGTGAAAAAATAAAGTGTTTTTCCAAAAAAAAATTCCAACAAAAAAAAATCTTTGTACAACACCAAGTGCCAATAATAAATGATTAATGACGCATTTGTCAATCAAATCAACAACTTTTCATTATAAAAATGCCACCACCCAAAAGAAATAAAGCAAAGAGAAAAGCAGAAGAAACTAATAAAAATACATACAAGTAAGTGTTTTAAGAATGGTGAAGGTGGTTATTGCCACTTGTCATCACTCTAGTTTATATATAAAGATTGGTGGTTACTACTCTAATTGGATAAGAAATATTCCTTTTGTGAAGTGCTAATCAATTTACATTATATTAATTTCTTAGTCGAGAAGAAAAAGAAAACAACAATTCAGGTGGGTTTAATATTTAAAATGATAATTACCCTGAATTTTCGATTTCAAACTAGTGTTCCTAACAATGGTATTTCAAAAAAAAAGTTTTTGAGAAAATTTTTGAAACAACGAAAAAAGAAAATAAATGGAGATTAAGATCGGGAAGGACAGTAGAAAATAGATGAATATCATAAGGGGGTTACACAGGGTCACAAACTATTAAAATCAAGTGATCAGCTCATGTTTTTAAAGGATTTTTTGCTGTTTTAATAGCGTGTAACCCCCTTAATGATATTCATGATATTCATGAATAAAAACAGGACTGGGAAAACTCTATAGTATGTGACCGCCAAATTAAATGGCAAATCATATTAATGTGAATCTTAGTTTTTTATAATTATGCGAATCAATTTTCCGAACACATTTAAAAAATTATTAATAATGCGAATCGAAATCAGCCAAGGACATATGAAATTTATCTTTATTAATTAAAGGAAGTTTTGTGTACTTGACATACTAAAATGATTATAAATTAAAAATGTTTCATCATCTACTGCAATCAAACAAGGATTAATGTCATTAATATTAGAGTAAGAATGTATTCCCAAAAAATAAACTACTTCTCGTGGTGTAATGTCTCCTCGTGCAAAATTTTCACATGAAAAATACCGTTGTGATACTGGAAGATAAACTTTAATAGAAATATATGATAAATGATCTAAAATCCTGCTGGCTTTTCTACCCATGCATGTTGTTACTTTTTGTAAAAAATGCTTTGACACTAGGTTGATTATTAATTAAAAAATTACAATTATTACTCTCGGAATGTCTTTTAAAGTTTTCAACTTGATAATTGATTCCAAGTGAAATAATTTGACCACATTTGCAAATAACTTTTTTAGCATTGACAAATTCTTGAAAGTTAGGGTTAGGGGTTGGCACCGTTAACCGTTT